AAGAAAAGAAAATTTACAAATTAAAGAAAGCTTTGTATGGCCTAAAACAAGCACCCCGGGCATGGTATAGTGAGATTGATTCTTACTTCATCAAAAACGGCTTTCAAAGGAGCAAAAGTGAGCCAACCTTGTACTACAACACATAAGGTAAAACTGGGATTCTTATTGTTTCTCTTTATGTTGATGATTTGGTATTTACCGGTAGTGATGAAAAAATGATTGATGATTTTAAAAGAAAGATGATGAAAAAATATGAAATGAGTGATTTGGTTTTGTTGCATTACTTCTTGGGTATTGAAATTTATCAAAAAGAATGAGGAGTTTTTATTTGTCAAAAGAAGTATGCAAAAACTCTTCTTATAAAATTCAAAATGTTGAATTATAAATCCGTTTGCACTCCCTTGGTTGTGAATGAAAAATTGATGAAAGAAGATGGAAGTAAAGAAGCGGATGCATCTCTCTATAGAAGCTTGGTTGGAAGTCTATTATATTTGACATCTTCAAGACCCAACATCATGTATGCTACAAGCTTATTATCTCGGTTTATGCACAATCCAAGCCAAATTCATGTTGGGGCTGCAAAGAGGGTGTTGAGATATATACAAGGTACACTTGATTTTGGTATCATGTATGAGAAAAATGTTGATGCAAAGTTGTTTGGTTTTTGTGATAGTGATTGGGCCAGATATATTGATGATATGAGAAATACTTCTGCTTATGCATTCTCTCTTGGTTCGGATGTATTTTCATGGGCATCTAAAAAGTAAGAAATGGTGGCACAATCTTCTGCCGAGGCTAAGTATATTTCAGCATCATTGGCAGCGTCACAAGCAATATGGCTAAGGAGAATTTTTGAAGATGTTGGTGAAAAGCAAAAAGAAGCTACTCCAATTTTATGTGACAACAAATCCCCAATTGTTATAACAAAGAATCCTATTTTCCATAGTCGCACAAGACACATTGCAATCAAGCATCACTTCATTAGAGAAGCCATGGAGAATGAAGAGATTCAACTCAAGTATTGTAAGACTGAAGACAAAGTTGCGAACATTTTTACCAAAGCACTTCCCAAAACTAAGTTTGAATACTTTAGAGAATTGTTGGGTGTCACAACATGGCATTAAGGGGGGTGTGTTAAAAATAAATTAATGCCATGTTCATTGTGCATTTTGGTTTATTCATGTATTGTTATTGTACATGTATCAAGCAGGTACATGTATCAACTATGTACATGTATCAAGTGAGTGCATGTTGTGACGTTTTCGATTTTTACCATTTTTAATTTTTCTAGAATTTTGTCGCCGTAAGGGCACTCTTGTCTTTTCACTTAGTTGGGTCCATTTGCATTTTGTGCACGCTAATTCATGTGAGTAATATAGTATTTATGTGGTAGTGTATTTAAATGTGTTTGTGGTACAAATAAAAGCAAAAGAAAAAAAAAAGTAAAAGAAAATAATTATGGGTGGGACCCACTTTATACCTTTTAGTGAGTTAGAGACCTTTGGGTCTCATTTCCTCACTCTCCCGATGGCACTCTCTCTCTCCTCTCTTTCTTGATTTTTCCCTTTTTCTTTTGAACTCAAGCTTCAATTTTTTATCCCTCTCTCATTACTTGATCATTTTGGGTCCCGTTTGTGGCTAATTGAAGAGTGCGTCGAGGGCTTCAAGTTGATCGGAGCCAATCTCCATTTGGCTACCATTTGAGGAGTCTCTAGAATTCTAAGGGTTGAGGCAAATTGGGGGTTTTTAGCTTGAATGGAGGTAGGGGCTTCCTAATTCACATTATTCATGCACCTTTGTGAATTAATTTACTTGAATTATGTTATAGCCTGCTTATTTGTGTCAATTGTACCCAAAAAATGTCTTGAATGTTTATATGTGAATATGTGAAGACTTGTTTTGATTGCACTATTTGAAAAGCATGCTTATATTGTGAGTTATGCCTATTGTATTGTTCACATGCTATGAATGGTGTATGAAAGCATGCCCTATTATATTTTGTAATAATCCAATTATGGTTTAAATATTAGAAGTATGAGAACATGCTTACTTGTGCTGTGTTAAATTCCTCATTTTCATAGTATTGAGATCATGAGACATGCATGTACACCATTGGGTTCCATGAAGGGAAGAAATTGTTTTTGAAATGAAAATTGGGAGTTTTGGGAAAGAAAGTTTGATAAAAATGTTTTGGAAAACCCAGTCGCCGCGGGGGTACCAAATGGCCGGAGGTTAATATAGCCTAGAGGGGACTAGGGAGTCGCCCTAGCGTGGTTGAGCTAGCTGGGCCCCATAATGACGCCGCGGGGGTACCAAGGGTTAGGGACACTAGCCAATCCTCCTCTTGTGTCGTTGCGGGGTCACCAAAGGGCGGGCTGTATTAACAGTTTGAAAGCGATGATTGAATTATGAAAATGGGAAGCGACATTGGCATGCATTATATCTCCATCGAGATTGATAACCATGTTGTATTCTCCCCTATGTTGTATGACTCCAACTCCTATTGGCCTATTCTTTGCTTTGGATTCACGGGGTCTCATGAGGTGTGTCTTAGGCGTCACCTACTGAGCAAATTGCTCACCCCATTATATCATTATATTTTTCAGGTCATGGCAAGGGAATGGCGGATGAAAATCCTCCGCAAGCTTGAAAGTTGTTAGAAGATGATTTTTGCTATTTTGTATTTGGCCATTTCATGTGTAATTGTAGTTTTGGGAATGTAAATAAGTTTGTATTTATGGCCATCGAGAAAATGTAATTAACTTATAATTACACTAAATCCTTTAGTGTATTTTGGTGACGTGTGGTGAATTACGTTAATGACGTGGTTGTTGTTATTGAATTTATTGTTGAAATGTATTTAATTTTACACGTGAGTGAAGTGACGTGGGTGGTTAAATTTCCAAATGTTGGTGTATGTGAGTTCTCATTGGACAGTGGCAGTGGAATTGAAAGTTTCCAACCAGTCGACATATGGGAAGCTATACGTCGACTGGTATCCTGACCCCAAACCAGTCTAAGTATGGCTCCTCATATGTCGACCGGTATAGTGTGGATACGTCGACCGGTTTATGTCACTTAAGTGGTATGTATTTAATTTCCCAAAATTACACTTGGCACCCAATTGATGTTGCACGTAATTATTTTTATGACCCAAATAAGTGCAATAATTATGCTTTGACCACCGAAAAGACTACATTGCCCCGAAACTCATTTTATTTGTTACGTGATACACGTAAATGATTATGAAGTCCTTTGGGTCTTAATTTATTGAAATATGGCAAATTACCATGTTGCCTTTTTTGGATCTCTATATTTAAATTTAACGTAAAATGACCGTATTACCCTCGGATGTTTTTGGGTCGGGTAAGGACCCGTTTAATGATCCGGATCCATGAGGAGCTGGGTCGTTACACATGTATCATGTGTGTGGTTGAGAATTGTCTTGGAAAGTTCAAAGGCCTATGGGGGAATAGTATATATAGTGTAAGAGATTTGTTGTTAAGATATATCAACATAATAAAGAATTCAACACAATACAGAAAAATATTGTTTCTTCATTCTTCTCCTCTCTTCACTTAGAAATTATTTAGTTGGTAAACTACAGCCAACAATATATATATATATATGATTCTTTTTTCTTTCTTTTTTTTGGGTTTTTTTTCATACTACTGCAAATAAAGTGTTTTGGATGTTCAATATAAGATTTTCTCATTCTATGTACAGGAAATATACAATAAAGGAGGAAGAAAATTAGGATTTCAAAATGCAGGACCTTTGGGTTTGCATACCGGGGACCTTGAAACGCGAAAATAGCAGTGAGTGTGTTCAAAATAACTCTGCAATGGCAAAACTACACAATATAGCTGTGTCTAAAGCCCTCCAGAAGTTAGAGAGTGAGCTACATGGATTCAAGTATTCAATATTTGATTACTACACTTCTCTCAGCCAAAAGAGTGAACTACCCTTCAAAATATGGAACGTTATGGCCATCTTCTCATCATTTGATATTTTCCATAGAACTATGTCCTTAGTTATATAAACTGGTGAGGCCTAGTGCATGAGGCTCCCGCCAATGCAGGGTCTGGAAAGGCTTAGATGTACATGGTCTTACCCCCGCACGCAGAGACTATTTCTGAAAAAAGAGGAGTGAAAAGTATCACTTGTGCAGGAATCCTAATGAACATGTGTGGTTTGACTTTGCGCATACCACGGAAAGAGCTAATCAGCAATTAGCACAGCTAATGTGAAGAGGAGTTCCTAATGTCACTGGACCTTATTACAATGTGAAAGCACTATTTGAAATGTAATAGTCCTTCAAAACATTCAGGTTCTACCTTCTAAATGTTTTGTCTACGATGGAAAACAACATTATTTGCAGTATATTTACTTGTTAGTTGCTAAAATGGTAAAAGCTGAGAATGCATATTCGAGTCGAACGCAACCATTTTGTGCAAATAATTGCAACAAATAATTATGTACCGAGGTTAAAAGAGGATTGCTGAACATACACCTAGTTCAAGAGAAAAAAATAGCTTTTATGGCTTTCACACACCGTTCCCCATCACCCGATTCAGAGCAAAACATACCAAGCTGGTGTTCTGCCGTTTGCACGGATGATTAAGCTTCGACAGAAATAGGATCCAAAATCACAAAACCTGTATGCTCAACTTGTCCCAAACAACATCCACATATGTGTAATATATGTTTACACACACACACACAGGAAACAAAACAATCTTTTTTTATTTCCAAGTTGACACTTCTTGTAGTTGAAATTTTGATCATTTCAAGATAAACTTTTTCTGTGCTATCTTAAACTCACAGAAGTATAATCAAGTTTGACACAGAGGCTCATAGTATGAGACCTTTGTCCAAAAATGTCTAACTAGTAACGACATTCTCTACCAATACGGCGAAATGTATAACAACATTCTATAATATATCAAAGATTGAGTTAAAATTTCCTTGATCAAGAAGTAATACGGTTTATTTAGTAAAAAAAAAAAAAAATGTAATACGGTTTATATTAAAAGATGGGTAATGCCAATAAGTTCCGTCAAAGATTGCAGTATATACTATATACAATAATAACTTCAATTAAGGTGGAATACAACACCAATCCATCGATGGTACACTAAAGCTTTTAATTATAAAAACTAAAATTGAGTACATAAATTTTGCCATACTTGGCTGGCATGCACAACCGGACCTAAAATTTGCACAAAATTTTTCAAGAACAAAAGATAAGCTGCTTAAAGTGAGAAAGAACTAGGGCAAAACCTTTTAATTCTTGTCGGAATTGTCTTGAGACGTGACAGTGGAAGGTGCAGCATCAACAAGCATCTTCACGACGTCTTTCATGCTAGGGCGCAAATTTGGCAGCTTGGTGGTGCAAAGCATAGCAACTTTCAACACTTCTATCATGTCATCTTGGACAAGATCAGACACCACTTTAGGGTCAAGAACTTTGAGAACATCTTCGCGGTTATTCAGATGAGCTGAAACCCAGTAAACTATGTCCTTTCCTTCTCCATAATCGTCTTCTACTGGTCTCCTACCAGTAACTAGTTCTAGCAGCACCACACCAAAACTATACACATCACTCTTTTCGGTGATGTTTAGAGTATAGGCCAGCTCTGCGGAAGAAAATCAAAAATGACAGGAAACAATTGCAGTTCAATAAGTCATTCGTTGAATAATCAATTGGTTAAGATTTGAACCTTAATCCATCAAACTGTAAATTTCAAATTTTCAAATACTATACTAAACAGATTTTCAAAAAAAAAAAAAAAAAGTAAATTCAGAAAGAAAGAAATGAGCAAGTCCATCCAGAAAAAAAAAAAATTAAAATTAAAATTAAAATTGTCATAAAAGGTGTTGTCCCAACCAACCACTGTCACAAAAAAAAAAAAAAAAAAAAAAAAAAAAAAAAAACCGAATTCTCACCATCATAAGCAACTAGCAATAATATTTCACACAGAGCACTTGAAAGTGGAAATGAGTATATTTTCTTTAAGAAAAGGAAAAAGAAGAAGCAAAACTCACCGGGTGCGATGTAACCATGAGTGCCAGCAAAACAGCTGGATTCAGACATCCTAGGGGACCCTCCTGTGATCTTAGCAACCCCAAAATCAGCAATTTTTGGTTCATTATCCTCATCAAGTAAAATGTTTGTTGATTTGATATCTCTGTGGAGAATAGGTGGGAAACAATCATGATGCAAATAAGCCAGTCCCTTTGCAGCTCCGAGAGCAATTCTGTGCCGCCGGTACCAATCCAATCCTGGTTGCCCTCCCTTGACTTCTTGCTGAAGTGCGTCGAAAAGGTTACCATTAGGCATGTACTCTAACACCAAGAAACTCGACGCTTCTTTCTTTAGACAGGCATAAAGCTTCAGTACATTTCTGTGCCTGATCTTCCCCAAAATCTCCATTTCTGCTGTCAAAACCTTTACCTCATTTCCCTTCCATATTTGCTTCACAGCCACTGTTCCACGGCCTTTCTTCAAATCCAACCGATAAACTTTACCTGTACCTCCGCTTCCAATCAATTTCTCCTCATCCAAGTTACATATTTCATCTGCATTGAACTCCACCGGGTGAAAAGACTCAAGCTTCCATTTCGGATCTTTTTCCATCTCCCCGTCCAGATCATTTTCTGCGCCTTCATTGAGTTTGAAGTTCCGGTAACTCACAAGCAATAAGCCACCTAGAATAACAACCAAGGCAGACAGTATGAGGGAGAACATAACTAGTTTACTTTCTATAAATCCTTTGTGACCATGCTCCCCTTCACAAACAGCCATCCCCAAATTCACCTGGGTTGTGGAACTTTTATCAATACATAGCCCCTTGTTTCCTGAAAATGCTCGGTCTCCTCCCGTAGTAAGAAGATCAGATGGAACTCGTCCCGATAGTTGGTTGTTCGACAAATCAATGGAACTTAGCTTCAATTTCTGTAAACTTTCTGGCACTGGACCAGTAAGTTTATTTCCCGAAAGATTCAGAGAATTCAGATTTCTCATATGCGAAAGGGTATCAGGGATATTACCACTTAAAGAATTCCGAGCAAGATTTATGTCCACCAGCCTAGCACATTCACCCAATTCTGCTGGTATTGATCCTGCAAATGAGTTATCATACAAATACAAAGAAGACAACTGCTGTAGAAGGCCGATTTCAGAAGGTATATTGCCGGAGAACTCATTATTACTCAACTGGAGCTTTTCTAACTGTGTCAGCTTTCCAATTTCTGGTGGAAGATTACTCGAAAACCGGTTGTTCAGCAATACCAACTGATTCAAGCTGGTGGAAACCCCAATATCTGGAGAAATCGTTCCGGTAAAATCATTGTCGCTAAGATCAACCATTTTTGCATAAGGCAGTGCCCAAAAGCTATCTGGGATTTTCCCGGACAGGCGGTTTTGACTGATCCTCAACCTCTCTAAGGACTTACAAGCGGCATAAGAATCCGGTAGCTCCCCATAAAATTTATTTTCCACAGCAAGCAAGAACCGCAACTTCCCACTCTCACACAAATATCTCGGAAAGGCACCAGAAAACTGATTCTCTGATATGTCTAAACTAGTCAACGGCGAAAACCGGCCAAAATTTTCTGGGAATTCTCCTGAAAAACTGTTCTGGAAGATGTGAAAGGCATCAAGATGACGCAAATCTCCGAATCCTGAAGGTATTTTTCCTGAGAAGTTGTTCAGAGACAGCTGAAAAACTTTTAGTTTCTTCAGATCACCGATCCCCGGAGGCAATTCCCCATGCATTTGATTCCTCGATATATCAATTTCCTCCAATTGAGTGAGCTTCGCAAGCCCTGGCGGAAGTTCTCCTGTCAAGTTGTTCTTATAGAGCTCGATTTTGTTGAGATTTTGCAATTTGGATATAGATTTGGGGAAATTGCCGGAGATCTTGTTCGCGGAAATATCCAGTGTCTGCAGTTCCTTGAGTTCGAATATCGATTCAGGGATTACACCTCTCAACCGCGAAGCACCCAGATTAAGAAATGTCAAGTTCTTCAGATTTCCAAGGCTCTCCGGGATTTCGCCCTCATCATAGTCATTGTCCGAAAGGTCTAATACAGTCAACCGAGTTAATTTTGCCACCCAGGTAGGAAATTTACCAGAAAAGGAGTTCGATGACACATCAATAATCTCCAAATTTGTCAGAGAAGAAAGATCAGGCAGGCTGCCATTCATATAGTTTCCGGTGAGATTCAAAACTCTGAGGCTGCTGCAATTGTTCAGCCGGGCCGGAAGATTCCCGGAAATCAAATTCGTCGTCACCGCCAGAGATGTGAGGCTCTGCAGAACAGAAATAGAAGCCGGTATCTCGCCAGCTATGGACTTATTGTCTATCAAAATTCCCGTGACTCGACCGGTGTTCGGATCACAAGTAATTCCAGCAAAGTGGCACGGAGACTCCGCATCTTTCCAGGAATCTAGATAATTCAAAGGGTCTTGGAGCTGGTTTTTGAACTCGAGAAGTGCCTTGATTTCGACCGTTGAGGACGTGGAAGGCGGGAAAAGGAAAAAGAAGCATAGGAGGAAGGTAGTCATCAGAATTTGGAGGGAGAGGAGTGGAGTTTTGGCCATTGTGAGAATTTCAGAGGGGCAAAATGATCATTTGACTATGGTAAACAGATGTAGAACTCCATTATTGCGTGGAATAGCTGAAAGACAAAGATTCAACAATCATATAACCACGTCAAAAAAAAGCTAGCGAGTGTATCAAATACTCCATAAGAGACAAATACTAAGCTGGCGTTACGACGTCAATCTGTTTTTAGTTGTGGATTGTTAAGAGTGACATCTCCCTTCTAAGCCACTCATTGTTTATCTTCTCCATATTTGTTTAATTTCCACTTGATCGCTATGTAATATATATATATATATATATATATATATAGACACACACACTGAACTCACACACAAACATTGACCAACATGACTACATGAGGAATCAAATTCTACTAGGATCTTCCACAATAGGATATTTTATTTTATTTTTTTTAAGGATATCACATCCCAAAAAAATATGCAAACAACATTCAGCAAGAAGGAAATTGCTATTAAAACAAACGTTTAAAGATCAAAATACAATTTTGAATTTAAGGGTAAATACTGTTCCTGAACCAAATATCACAATCAAAAGTTTATTTAGATTCTAAGTGATTCTTGTTATTTTCATAAGTCAAGTTGTGCCCCCACACCGGCGCGTCGCTCACCAAAGAGGCTTCATCTACAAATATTAGGGTTCATGGATGATCCTTTGAATTTGAATAATGTCAGTTAAAATACATGGAGATCCAACTATATAATAATTTCAAAGTTGCACACATCATATATCTTACAATATGAGAGAGAGCGTGAAAAAAGAACATTTATACTACTTAGTACAATTCTTAAATAAAATAAGTAAAAAAATCTGATTTTCTGTTTTTAAAATTTCCCCTAATTTTCTAAGCTTTTTCTGCAACTCAGAGAAGAATTAAGTGACAAAATTTCATAGAATATAAAAGAAAATAAACAGAGTAGTGAAACATTTAACAAATCATAAATAATAATTATTTTTATTTATATGAACCATCATTGAATATTCATTAACAAAAAAAACATGATTTCAGGAGATGTACTTGCTTTTTTGACTCGGAATCACTTCATGGGTTCTTTCTTTAAGTACTTAATTCTAAATTCAAACCTATTATATACACCGCAAAAACACAAAACATAAACTTCTTGCATAGCATTATATATGCATACACACACATATACACGACGAGTATGTGTTAACGAGTAAACAACACACACATATAGAAGTAAAGAAAATGTTCTAGAATTTTACCGGAAAATTTGAGGGATGCTGGAATCCGAACTTCAAAAGGTAGTTTCCTTCTATGTCTTTCTCCAATGTTTTCTTTCGGCTCTCTCTATCTTCACTCTGACACAAACCCAATTATCAAATTCTGTGAACCAAACAGAATTCGTGACTGCGGGAATTTTCTCGGGAGGTTGAATGAGTTTCCCGAGAAAATCTTTCCAAGTCTCCTCTGTTTTCAAAGCCACATGACACCTGAAGCTCCTTTCGAGGAAAAAGAAGCTGTTTGGATACTGAGAAAATATATCCACAAGTTATTTTAGTGGGAAGATAACAAGAAGGAGAAGCTGGAAAAATCTTACTTGGAGAAAACTAATGTGGGAAGCAAGAAAGAAAGGGAAAGGAAAAACAGAGAGAGAGAGAAGAATTTAAGGGATTACAGTAAATTTAAGTGGAGAATCTATAGATGTATATAAAGTTAATTTTCTAGAAGAGAAAATGACAAATGTTCATAAACAGCCTTGTTTTGAGTTTGGAGATAGAAACCTGTAAAACTGCCAAAAGGCATACACCATGGTTCTATTATTGTGTTGTGTCTGCGTCTGTGACAGAGACTAGATAAATATATATATATATATATATATACACACCCATATATATATGCGTGTGTGTGTGTGAATAATGCTAAAAAAAAAAAAAAAAAAAAAAAAAAAAAAAAAAAGAACAAAAAACAACAACAACAACTATTAAGCACAAAAAAAGAATAAGAAGAATTAACTATTGGTAAAAGAAGTAGATTATACTTGTGGGGTTCACATGATATCACGGGACATTGTTTTGGACTGATTTTTTTTTTATTCTTTCTCATAAAAAAAAATACTACTTTGGTTCTAAAATGTTTGTCCTTTTGTTCATTTAGGGATGTCCTATTTGAAAGTGAATGAAAAAATATTGTATAATTTTTTAAAATATTTTGAATTTGAAAAAGAAAAAAAAAAAAAAAAAAAATCTGACTAACAATATGAACTTATAAACTTAAAAGAAGTATGAGAATTTTGGTGGAGAAAGATTCATATAGATAAATTTATATTTATACTCTCACGTGATATCAGCTTGTCAATGTCTTTTGACCATTTTCTTAACCATTGCTTAGTTAATTATTATGCTAATCATAGTTGGCCCATTTTACACTCTTGTCAAGCAACATCACTTATCTTTTAATTTAAGGTTAAAGTGCGAAAAAAAAAAAAAAAAAAAAAAAAAAAAAAAAAAATGCCCTACATAAAAAATGCACAAGAAATACCTCAACTATTTTGAGCATCTCCAATAACTGTCTATTTTTTAATTTTTTTTGTAAATATGATATGTCATACTAGACTTATATAAAAAAATTACACTACTCATTTTTAGCTCGAACTATTGTTTTATACCTCATATGTAAAAATACATCTACCAAACAATTAACCACGGGTCATACCCAATTACTCTACATAACTTTTACAAACTTACTTGGTTCACATTGGTTGACCGATGAGAGAGAAGAGAGAGAAGTGTGAGTGGGAAAGATAAGGTGGGAGAGAAGAGAGAGAAGTGCGAGTGGGAAAGATAAGGTTGAAGCGTTGATGGAATGAAAAAGAGTGAGAAGACATAAAATATGCTGATAATATGTTAGTGTTGTACAAAATACACAATAATTTTACACATTAATGATGTAAAATATATCTTAACATACTGAAAAATAAAAAATAAAAAAGAAGAAGAAGTTTACACAAAAGAGTTTTTTTTAACACACTGCTAGATATGCTCTTAGTATATATATGTAAATTTTTATAATTACAATATTGTAGCAAATTGTCCACTGGTCATCAATTTTTACCTTCGTTTTTTTTTTTTTTTTTGTAAAAACCCCAAAATGCCTTTAATAATATTTGTGCATATACTGTAAGTGTTTATTATTATTTTGTTTTTGCTTTAAGGGCATTTTAAATATTTCAGCTTTAAAATTAAGAAGATAACCTTATTTACTCAATTTGAAAAATATAGAAGAGTTTTTTGAATACACATGTTTTTATATAAAAAATAAAAAATAAAAAAAAATAAAAATAATTGGGCACTCTACCCTTAATTTAAATTGCATTGTTATCCACAATATATAAATGTATATATATATAAATACATACATATATATTTATGTAAGTGTGTGTATATGTGTGTGTGTGTTAGTAATGCGGTTATTATATCTTCCACTTTGCCACTACCAAAACAAGATAACAAAACCGTGGTTATAGAAGAAAAAAATGGTCCATACTCGCACTGATCAAATCCATATTACAAGAAAATTTGATGATAAGGTGGAATATTGATTTATGAGTAGTGCTTTAGATTAGGACACGCACTTCACTGCATAAAATCACGTAGTAGACGCTCTCCATTTTATGATAGTTATAAACTTGGATTGACTCGTGGCTTGACTCCTAAAAAGCAAAATTCGTGACCTTCAAAATTTCCATGCGAGTGGGGACGGTGACTGTTTGATGCAGACATTTCATGAGGACTTGGATTTTAATACTATCATCTTTAAACACAAAACAATTTTTGACTGCAAAGTTGGATGATTACAGTTTCGTCAACCAAATGGAGATAAGTTAATTTCAAGAAGGAATGAGATTTAACAATTATTGTCGTCCTCAATTGTAAGAGTTGATATTTTTTTTTTTTTTTTTTTTTTTGCAATGCACTAGAAACGATAGAGTACAATCGAGCAGTGGGTCATACCTGTTGTTTTGTTGGGTTGATCTGAGTCCTTTTCTTACCCTAATCAACAGTGAGTCTTTCTCGGAAAAAAACACAGAAACAGCACAATTGCAGTGACCATTTACTTGCCATGGACTAGCAGCTGGAATCATTTCCCTACAAACCAACTTTCAAACCTAATCAAATAATGTTAGGGCAAATCATGGTGGCCCCATTGAGTTAATTTTAGGGTATTATACCCATTCCGACACCTCATTCAAAATTTTGATTCAAACATATCCTTAAAATGTTAGAAAAAGACAAGATTGTCTGTCAATATATAATTTATTTTCATTGTAAAATATCAACACTTATGAAAAATCATTTTTGCCCGTTGATTTACCAACCACAACCACAACCACAATCACCCCAACCCTCAAATATTGCCTCTCATCCTTGACCACCATCCTCTTTGGCGAGCCACTACCACATTATTACAACACCATTGAAATGGCAGCCAGTCCTTTACCTTTCGACACTCATCCCACCGCATGGTATGATATTGTCTACTTTAAGCTCAAACCTGCATGATTTTGCTCGTGAATTTTATTCCAAAAAGATCTCATACCAATTGGAGTGGCACACCTACATATATAGCACTTCTCCTTTCTACACTTAAACGATGTGGGATTATGCACCTGTAGTTCTCTCAGTGTGGTAGTCTGCCAGTGTCTCGCACCCACCCACAAGGTCGCTAAAATCACCCCTCCCTTCGGGCCCAATGTCCCAGTTGGCCACATTTCTGACCGAGTCAGACTCTAATACCATTTGTAACGACTCACCCCACCACATAGTATGATATTGTCTGCTTTGGGCCTGAGCCCGCACAGTTTTACTCTTAAATTTTATTCTAAAATACCTCATACCAATTAGAGTGACCAACCTACTTATATAACACTTCTCTTTTTCATACCCAGGTGATATGAGATTGTGCACCTGTAACTCGCCCAATGTGGTGGCCCGCTTAGTGTCTCGTACACGCCCACGGCACACCTGCCCATAAGGTCACCACAATATCTATATCTATATACACAGCGATTGATGAAAGCATAACCACCATTGTCGTTGCGGCAGTTATATCTGGTCCACCTCCACCCTCATAATCCTCATGCTCCCCATTTCTCTAACCCAACACCCTATCGATCCTCAACACCCTATCTATTAGCCATATTATGAATTAGTCTACATTGAGAATTACTTAAATTCTGTTTACAAAATTTATTGGTTTAGGTTTTGATATCTTAATATTGCTGACTCAGTTTTAATATATGTGTATGTGTGTGTGTGTTTGCGCGTAATACATGTATGTGTGTGCGCGCGCGCGCGTGTATATATAAGAGAGAGAGAAGGAAGAGGTGGTGGCTGTGAGTGGGGGCGACATAAGTGCATAAGATGATGAAGGTATTTTGGACATTTAAAATTAGTTAGAATAGATAAATTGGTAATTCACAAGTCAAAGGGCAATAAAGTCAATTTATCTTATGTCATAAGTGGCAGGTGTTGGTTGAGGTATTTTTGTTAACTTTATCAAATCTGAGGAGGTGTCATCATTCAAACAAGACCCATGTACGTTTGTCATTATGGCAAATCTCAAGGGGTGTAGTGTAATTTACCCTTAATTTTATATGGAGAGGTCCAAATAGTAATATAAAAATAAAATTTTAAAAAAATATATTATTGTATATTGTTTGGAAAAATATGAAAGAAAATTCATTAAACAATTCATAAATAAAAATGTTGGAGAATATTAATTGTTCTATTATGACTTAGAGGTCATGAGTTTGTAACGAGAAACAATTTTCTTGCATACGTAAGGATACACACACTGATTCATAACACAACTATCAATAGTCTCGTGCAGTGGGGTTAACACTTTTTGTCTTTTAAATGTTGTCCTACAAAAGGTCTAGTCGAAGATCGTTTATAGGTCTTAGGGAGTCGCATATATAAAGGTATGAAAAAAAAAAAAAAAAACTACTTATGTCTTGCAAATAAACCACCTGAACTATAAATTAAATATCCCCGAACTAATGATTTGTTGCAATTAAGGACAACCCATAACAAAAGACTATTTTTTTTCATTCTTATTAAATTATCGTTATTATATTATCTCTTATCCCAATATTAATTATATCATTTACCTTAATTTTATTATTAGTATCAAGTTATCATAACAATGAAAAATAAATAAATAGAGTTTTTTTTTTCAGTAAATAAAAAATACGATTGTAACCACCATTTTCTAAAATTATTAACTTCTAATTAAAACTTTACTATTTATAATAAAAATTATTATACTCAATTTAAACTTTGTATTATTAAAAAAACAAAAAATCTTTTTCATACAATATATTCATAAAAAATTAATAAATTACTTAAATAAAAAAATTTCATGAAAATTTAAGAAAATATTTATATTTATTTAAACTCTTCTACTTATGATTTTTATTTAAAGAATTAATTTTAAAAATTAAAGATAAATGTATGCAAATTTAATAAGAATGTCATCAAAATAGTATGAATTTGTTTCATAATTTATTTTAATACAAAAACTGGAATTATGCAACGTTGGGAGCACCGAATCAGCAGTTTGAATTTGGGATTGAAAGAAGTTTAGTTATAAATTTTAACTAAATTTTTTTCAATCTCAAATTTAGAGCACCGATTTGGTACTCCCAAATGCAACATAAGTGTAATTCAATAAGAAATAACATTCATGATCATTTAATGAAAAATAACCCAAGAATCGGGGCATTTTGAAGAA